TTTGCGCATTCCTGTTTAATATCTTAGGTCGGTCTAAGAATTTGGCGTTGAAAAGAGGGATTACAAGAAGGTGAAGTGATGGAAATAGAAGGTGCTTTAGAGAGATTAAATAGTAGTCATTAAGAAAGTGGCTGAATCCATTCCAACCTCAGCCTCCATAATGCGATGTAATTCCCTTCTACCATATTCCATGTGCACCCATATTGATTTATTGGCAGTTTAATTTAATTTGTTGTGGGGTTGCAGAAGATGGGAATTTCTATTGCAACTTGTAAAGGAGGGTTGCTCAATCCACAACTACAAGAGGAAGATATCGGGGCTATACATTAGCTGATCTCATTTAGGAGTATAAAGTTTTGTTGTTGGAATTATTAACTTAGTATACTATGTTAGGTAAGTTATCTTTTTGTATAATTAATTCGGGTGTGTTATGTATGAATTTTGTTGGGCCAAAGTATTAGTTGTGAAACATAACTGGTGGCAAGTGGGAACTACCTCCTCGTAGCTGGTAGTAGATACAATACAAGATGATGAGCCAAGTGAATTCTCCTAATTTATTGGCGTTAATTGGAAAAAAGAGATGAGAGGGGTATGTGTCCCAAATTCAGTTGCAGAACAGGTTTTGATATCATACATATCCAAGATGAATAAATCATAATTAGGGATATGTATAATTCATAATTAGGGGTTATACGATCAGTTTGATCTGTGTAAGATCTAACTCATAAAACTTGTACTTTTAACAGGTCAGATTAATGATCCGACAGGTCACTACATTCAATATAACACAATAATTATGCAACAAAGAATATAATCTACTCAACAATATCAAGGTTTCCATATAACAATTACCTAGATATATTCATATAATAAATATATGTATAGAGTGCAGAAATTTAAAACAATTTCTACCAAAGCGACTAAAAACATAAAGTTCCTTAAGGGATTACATACAAACATTGTACATATTTACAATATACATGTAATATACAAAATTGAAAACAAAGCAATCTTATCATTGGTCAATGTCTCTATACAACAAATATTGCGCCAGAGCATTATACACAAAATAGGCCACCTCTAGCATGACTATCCACCAACATCTAAGCCACCAAGCTAATCCTACCCTACTCTCATACTAAGTATGACCATTGTAGTCCAACAACAAGAAATGAAATGGTAAGCTTATGAAATAATTAACATAGAAACAATATACATGTACAATTTATACAACACCAACAACTTAAACAACATCTGACTAGTTCATAACACAACATCAACAAATTATAACTTTCAATCTTCATATACAACTTACAACATGAACAATATTTTCAATACACACAACTTTCCATCACAACATAAATAATTTTAAACAACTAATGTATCATCGTGCATGTCAACATTTGAAGATTTCCTACAATAGAGGGGAGTTGTCTAAGTGAGTTGACCCTACCAAATCACTACGACTAACTTATCACAATCAGATTAGGTAGATACAACATTAGTTCTCTCAAAGTGCCTGGTAAACAACTTAAATTGATTTCTTGAATTTCGCCACTTAAACTAGAAAAATATAATGCTACTGTCAAGGTAGAACAACTTGAGGGTAAGTTTATCACAACCTTAGCATGCATATTTAAGTCTTATATGGAATTAGTTCAACAACTACCCTCCAAATATTATGCACCTTTTCAACAATCAATTAAGGATTTTATCCCTCAACTTTATATTCAGTTAGTCACTTCATACACATATGGCTCGACCTTATCCCAGACTGGTCAACATTTGGTCGTTTTACAATCAGTATAGCTTAACCTGACCCCATGTTGTTTCCACATAAAACCTAGAGGAGCTAGACAATTCAAAAATAACTATCCATTTCACAAGTCAACTTACTTACTAAAGGGTTCTCAACTTTGACTCTTAGAGCACCATAACTTATATTCACATAATGAGATATTTTAATTTTGAAACAATTTTACTCTCTTCTAGTTTTTATGCATCTCAACTAAGAGATGTGTCTCAACACCACATGCTTATACAAATTATCAAATTAAATCAACTTAATACGTACAACTTAAATTGCATACATCTTACAACTTAATCAATTTCCTCAAATTTCATCCATAAGCAACTTTAAACATCATTATACATCATCCTAAATCAATGCATAATGAACTATAATCATACAACATCATTCATATAAATGAATCATCATACTTCATCAGTTAGACAACATAGAACATCCAATTTTATTTCAACAACCCATGTTTGTCATTATCTTTCCTATGTCAAGCATCATTGAGGCAGAGTTTTAGGCTTGCCCACACTCAACATCAATCCACCTGCATCCAACATGGATGAGGTAGAGAGCCTTTGAGTCAATCACACATGGCGTGGACAAACCCACATCTGACCCCCCTTAGGCAAAGAGTCTCTACTTGACTCACACCCAACATCACAACATTGGCACACAATGTCATCTAGGCAGAGAGCCTTTGTCTTGATCATGCCAAGCGCGACTCATCTTAAGGTCTTGTGTCTGATAAGTGTCTAACTAATTTGATTAAATATGAATTTGAGACACTTATCTAGCACAATTTTTGTACATATTTATATTATTTTGGTCTATACATGCTTAGAATCAAAGAGGGACTTTTGATTTATGTTAGTACAGGGAGCGATGAATCTTTTGATCAAATTTTGTGTTATTTTGTATGTTTTGAAATCTTGAGGCAAACGGCTCAGCCGTTTAAAACGGCTAAGTGCTTTCAAGCCAGAGAGCTCAACAAATGTAGCAAAGGAGAGGCGCTCAGCCACTCTAAGGCGCTGAGCGGTTTTGGCCTTGGAAGAAGGAGTGCTCTCTGCCTCCTAGGCGCTTAGCGGATATGAAGCACCCAGCCCCTTGTGCTTGCTTAACAGTGAAGAATCTCTCAGGCGCTCAGCGGATTTGAACGGCTCAGCCCTTCAAATTACTTCATGATGAAGAATTCTTCAAACCGCTCAGTCGTTTCAAGGCATTGAGCGGATTCTTCTCTTTCCTGCCTACTCTGTTTTAATTCCAGCACTTATAAAAGGCCAGGGGAGAGAGAAAAAGAGCATCATCAAGCTGTACGAGGAGAGAGAACAGAGAAAGGAGAGAAATAGAGCATTCTGGAGCTCGTGGGAACGCGAATCTTCAAAGGATGTCTTTCTTTCTTCTACCTTTCTTCTTACTCTTTTGTGATTTCTTATTATATGGAGAGCTAAAGCTCTAGGGTTGGGATTAATGTAATCATCGAACTCCTGTGTATTCCCTTTTGATTCATATATATATTATATCCATTATTTAGTGTCAGTGATTTGTATTCTGTGCTTCATGCTTTGATAAACTGATCATTTATCTTTGATCTTGGATTTAGAATTTGGTTGGAAAACGTTTTCTGAATCTAGACTTGAAACAAATCACCTATTAGTTTTGAGAGCCAAGGATGGTCTTGAAATTAATAGTTGCAACAAGTTTTGATTCTTAATGTGGGATATTTAACTGAATGAAGTTAGAATTTCTTATGCCAAGGAATTGGGTTTGAATTTCTTATGGCAATGAGTAATGAAATCATTTACTAGAATCATTAGGAATACATAGGAGGGAGATTGATGAATTTAATCCCAACTTTTTATC